AATTTTTTGACTTAAGACGGCAACATTATTTGAACCCAACACGAATTTAATTTAATGATACGAACTCAATTATAATTCGACCTGAGCTTGAAAAATGACCCGACACACAAACACAAAATATAAACGGGTCATATTTGAATTTAACCCATCAAACTTGAAATTAACACGATCAACTTATTTATTTAATCGTGTCGATACTAACTCAACAATGACCCGTTAACGATATGAACACAACATAATAATTTTTTATCCAAAAATGGCATGCTCAACCCGTTTAGATATAGTATATGATGGTGGTCTAAAATGTGGATGAGCAGAATATTTATGTAAAAGTAAGGTTCAATTTGAGCCATTAGGCTTGTGAGAATAGTGCAATGATTCGGGAATAAGAGATGATTCACACCGAAAAGTTATAGTGGTTCATCAATTCGAGAGTTTAGCTAATCTACTCGTCAATGAATTCTCTTGCTTTGTGATCTATATCAATGATTTTCAAATGGTTACACAACATTCTTGATACAATTTAAATGACTTGCCCAGTGATGAAGACATTGTACAGTATTTATAGTTTAATTCCTAATTCTATAGGGTCCGATGCGAGATACCCGCCTTCTCTACGTAACATCTCACTTAATTTCAAGAGAAGGTTTGGACGGTTAAGGATCTTACACCTAGACTGACATTTATTGTTGTTGAAGGGACTTTCGGTGGCTCCTACCAATTTCCTTCGCAGTGTAGCTCGAGGGAGCTCAAGGTCAAGACCTCTGAGATCAAGCTTGCTAAGTTGAGCTCCCCGCCTGACCTCAATTCTTGAGCTCAAACTTGTAATTTATTTTAGTTATCATTAGTATAAAAAGAAAATATGGTCCGAATTCAAGAATATGGTGACTATTCTTCCCTTGTGGGTAAAGGAAATCTATTTTACGTCTGACAGCTTTAAAATCAAGATAACTTTGAAGGACTTAGTTAAGAATGGACACTTCCTCTATTTTCTTGTTTATATGGTAATACGAACAACATGAAATTAATATGATTAATATGTTTAACTAATATTATATAAATAAAATATTAATTATTTGTAACTATTTATTAAAGACTGGTATAATTATTGTATAAAAAAGAAATTTTTACTCATTATTATTATTATTATATTTATTAAGTTAATTTTTAGTTTATAGAAAAAATTATAAGTATGGATTCAATTAAGTAAAAATAGAATCTTAACTATAAATGTTTTATTCATAATTTATATAGGTTAAAACTAATACGAATACAAATACGACACGAAAATAAATAGGTCAATTGGACAAAATACGATTAGTTAAATGGGTTGGATTAGAGTTAACTAATGTTCGATACGACTTGACACAACACGACTCAATTGTCACCCCTACTCATGAGGAGTGAGTTTCAAAAGTGAGAGATAAGATTTGTAGATAAACAGACTAATTTATCAAAAATTCATTATTCCATTCTATTCACCTAATGATGAACATTTTAGTAAATTGAGTACCATGATTTCATATAAATTCATGGATCACACGCATTTATGTCACTTACCAAACATGAGATTTGATACAATTTTTATTTGAATCCCATGGACAAATCTTGGGGTAGGATTTGAAAGGACTTCATAAATTCAATCCAATGCTCCCCTCCCCTCCCCCCAAAAAAAAAAATCCAAACAGATCTATAAGATTTTGGACAACATATCTTTTAAATCTCGAGCTTTAAACCTCTAATCAAACAAAGAATATAAAAGTTGAGAATTATTTTATCAGTATTCCATCCTTTAATTCCCATCCAAACCCACAGACAAAATAGAATTTTTAAGGATGAACGGTTTCGTTTGTGCATTTAGTGTGTCAAAGAAGAAAGCCATATTGATCATAAGAAAATAAGCAAGAAAATTCAGGAGAATGGGCACTTCCACGAGATAATTATGTTGATGTGAGGCGTGAGAACTGCCCATGAGGATTGTGAATGTAATTTTTAAATTAAAATGGTAAATATTTAAATCGGTGGGCCTCTTTTAGGAGTTTCATTTTTCTCGAACAAACTTAGTGTTTATTTGAATCGGTGGGCCTCTTTTAGGGGCTTCATTTTTCTCGAACAAACTTAGTGTTTATTTGAATGAAAGTAATCTAAATGGAAAATAAACATTTCATTCTCAATAATATAGGATATCTCAAATTTTGAATTTTAATTATTTAAGTAATATTATATTTAGTTTAGGAAGAGAGTTTGGTTTAGGATTGAAGTTATTTTAGGAAAAACCTTTATTTTGGCAATTGGGAATATTAAACTTTGATTGGCTCAACTATGATCCTTTTTTACATTGCCTATTCAACTATCATGTTTCTCACACTACACTTTCAACTGTATTATTAGTTTTAAATTACCTCGATCATTAACGTTCATAACAAATTTGACGAAAAATTATTTTATTTTATCCCCCAAAATTAGAGAAATTTTGTTTAACTTTAACTGTCCCAAAAAGATATTTTTTGTCCAAAATTTGACAAACTTTTGCACTTGTGGTAATGTGAAATCTATATGATTTAATAGTTCCAGTAACAAAGTGAAATCGAGTTCATAGCTAAAAGTGTGAAAGTGTAATTTTTTCTTGAAAATTTAATTCTTTTCTTAGGATAGTGACCATGGAAATTTAATTACAATAGTAATCTTATTCCTTACTAGGATTGCTGTAATTGATTGTCCAAACATGATAATTTAGAGATTTAGAAATTCGATTCCTAATCTAATCAAGATTGTTGTAACTAGTGTTGTTAATCAATTCAAGTTACTCAAGCTCGACTCAGGTTCAGCTCGTTCAAGCTCGATTCATTTTCTAAATGAGTCAAACTTAAATAAGTTTTTAGATTCAATTACGAAAACGAGTTTTTTAAGCTCGATTCGAGCTCGTTCAACTATCAACCTTAGTTGCAACTCAAAGAGGAGTTGATTGAGGACAGTTGTGGAAACATAAAACTATCATTACACACTTCATCTTGTACATTATTTTTTTTTTTTCTCGAGATATCAATTCTATCCATTTAAAAAAAAAAAAAAGGGAAAGTCAAGACAATAATACATTTGTTCATCCTACCAACCCACTACATAACATGTTTGCCTTCACTTTCGCCTCCACCCAACACCAACACACGTGTGCACACACACACACACACTCTTCCAAGAGGTAGTTATGACTTTTCAACAAAATAAATATCACTTAATTTCTCATGTCTAACTTCTGTCATTTTGTATGATTTAAATTAATTGTTGGAGCTAATTACAAGATATTCAAACTTAAAGGGGATTAATGACAAACTACCCAAAATTGAAGGGAACGTTTTGTAATTAACCCAAAATAATATTAGACCATAAAATAAGGACATTTCTTAATAATTCCATATCCAAATTTGGAACCAAACAAAGTCTAGTTTATAACAATAACCATGATCACCATCAAATACTCTACTAAATTGGGCATGAGATTATCACATAACCATGATCACCATCTCAATAAAATGATTTTTGTTCTTTTCAGGAATACTCAACCAAACTTGGTATGAGATTATCAACACTCACCTTGAGTTAAGGATACATAGAGTATCCATTTATTAGACTCTGCAAACATGGAAGTTTTGGATTTTAAAACATGATTCTTATTCTAAATTAATATTATTACCATCGAAAAGTACATTGGAGAATTTTATGGAAACCCCTTAACTTTACACCAATGATTGAAAACTTCTAAATTTTACCTATTACAACCCAAAAAAAAAAAAAACACCTCCTAAACTGAATGTTGGAAAATTAATTATTTAATGCACACGCATGACAGTGCAGCTGTGACTCACGCAAGTTACAATTAGATATGTCAATGGATCGAATTTCAATTGATTTAAATCTAAATCTAATTTAAAACCCTAATAAAAATCTGATCCAATAATTTAATTAATTTAATTTTCATAGTCCGTACCTAAATGAATTAAAAATATACTACATTCACGTTTTTGAAGGATTGAAAAAATAAAAAAGAGACCCATTTCTAGAGGTAAAAACCTCGTATAGTTCACCTCGAGGGAAATCTAATCTTCAAAACTTTTCACAAAAAATTTTGTTTCAAATATTCATTATATTTTTCATTTAGCTAACGTCTTTAAATACAAAGAAATATAACACCTAAAAGATAGCTATTATATCCATTGATTTCACTACCTAAATAACTACCTAAGAAATTTATTAAAACTACTATACTCCCTAAAGCACATAATAATTAGCTTAGATAAATTCAAATAAATAAATAAAAAACATAAAATTAAAAGCACATAACAAAATCAAAATGCGATACAATCCAAATACCTTAATTGAGAAAAATTATAATAAATTGTATCAAAACCCGAATTAATAACAAAAGATACTGTGAATCCGAAATGGGACCCGACTAATTTTTCAAAACAATTATCAACCCATCTACTATTAATTGAATTTGGATTTAGATTAGATTGGAATAATACATCAGTAGGTCAGTGTTACACCGAATAATCAACAACTATTATAATTTATAACAGTAGATTTATACCATACGAGAAAATACCTATAAAAGGTAAAGGGAATAATTCACCAAAAAAGGAGCCCTAACGGAAAAGCTGCACTAAGATCTGAAAAAAGTTGCTCAGCTTTTGACAAGGAAGCCGCGTTACGTTTAAGTAAACCCTGGTGTCTATGTGTGTGTGTGAAAGAGAAAGAGAGGGGTCCGAAGAAGAGACGTCTGGCGCGACGATCAAGAAACGTGTTATAGATCCCTTCTCTCTCCTCGCCGCGTGCGCATGCAGACTCCGTATAAAACTCTACTCGTCTTCTCTTTGTCTCTCTATCCCTCTCTCTCTCTCTATCTGTGTCTGGATCATCTTCTGAAACCCTGTGTTAGTGGAGTTTTTAGAATAGGAGTCTAAGAGGATTGTACTTTTTTGCTTAAATAGACTCCATTGGCGATGGATTGGTGGCGTAGAGTGAGAAGGGTTTGGGCTGCTGTCACTTCCTGTGTCAAGCCTCGTGAAACTACGGGTAATTAATTACCATTTTTATGTTTAACCATTTCAGTTCTAATCACTGTTGTTTCTCATGCATGAGGATTTGGATTCTCTCTTAATATCAAAATTTGTCAGTTATGATGGATTTCCATCGTTCTCCATTTCATTTCTGGTGTATGAGCTGGGGACGGGATTAATTCATTGCATTTGTTAGATTAGTCATAAGTTTTAAAATTGAATGGGCTTTACTTTTAATCCAACAATTATAATTAATTAATTTTTTAAATTATTCATCGTCTTTTAAGATAAGAAAGGATCAGGATCATTGAAAAACAAAGATTTGGATTCATGCATGTAGGATTTGGATAATCTTTCAATTACCATCAATTTCATTCATTTCGGAATCAAGGAGTCACACTATGGGTCAATGAGTCATAGGTCCAGCTGGCCGGTTCAACTAGGTCTTGACGGGCCAATTTTAAAAAGGTCTAAAAACTAAGCCAACTCGTTGGTTAATGACAAAAATGGTCTAAATATTTACCCAACTCGCTGAGTTGATCTGGAGGGTATTCGAATTTACTAACACTAGATTACGCATCTTAATAGATTGTTTTATATTCCAATTCAATTTGAATATGATTCGAATTAGTTATACATGAATGAATAGATATTCTAATCGATTTTCAATGTGTAAATCCGTTAAATTTTGGATGTACTAATATGCACTCTTTGACTATGATTTAATCTAAACTACATTGAGTTAATATGCGACAAAATTGCTTATTATTTGATGAAAAATTAAATTAAAATTAAATTCTAATTGAATTTTACTTTATAATATTCAGTTTTTGGTGTCTAATGAAATTTTAATATATACTGTAAAATGGGATTTCTTGGACACCGAATCGGATTTGAGTCCAAATTTTCATTTGAGATTCTGATTTGGATTTGTCAAATATACTCTGATCTAGTTGGTCACCAGTGACTTTCTCAAAAAGAGAGTGCAACGGGTCAATTCTCGACGAAGATAAAAATTGATTCACTATGCCACCTATTTTGGCCACTCTATTCGTAGTTTGTATCATAGCATTGTCCTTCTTTTTCTTTATTCTATTGTTTGTAGTGTAGATTGATTGGTATTTTTTAACTATAGACATTTATAGTACTAACATGACATCAAATATCAGAAAAAAGTACCAAATTTTATTTAAAATCTTGGAAGTAATCGTTGTAGTTTTAATGCAGGTAAGTATGACAATAGTAGTATTAATGGCAGCGGTGGTCACATTGCGGAAGGTCTATTAAAACTTCGTGACGACGTACAAACGTGTGAATACCAAGATGTGCATGTGATGTGGAACATATTAAGTCGATCGGATCCTCAACAGATGATAGCATCATCAGCTGGGACTCAGTCTTCCCAACGTACCAAATCCAGGCAGTACCTTTGGAGGAATGTCATTTGGTCCAATCACAAAAGGGCCTCTCCATTCCCTCCCTTCAACTGAAAACAACTTTTTTTGCGATATGTTCTTGATGCGATGTACATTTTATGTGAATATTAAATGAGTTTTTTAAGATATTTGTGTCGTGTTTGAACAAAATATATAGTTTTCTTATTCATATTACAAATATAATGGGCTTTTGCTTTACAATCTCCACTTAATACCAATAATTTTTTGTCTTTACATATCCCTATGTGGGGGTTGAGGATTTAAACCTTATGTTAGTCAAATTGTCACGATTAAGCGGGGTTCTTGAAGCTACTAACGATAGAAAGCGAAAATTATCTTCCAAACTTATGTTTTAATTCTCGTACAATTTGTGTATCGGTTGACAATGTTTTTTAATTATTTTTTTCCATTTTTTGAGTATTTTTTGTGTTGTGTTTATTTTGTATTTTTATGTTTGGATGGTGACAATAAGTCCACGTACACAGATTTAAAATCATTGTTCAAATTTCAATTACTTTTTTAAAATGAGATTAAATTTATTGAAATAGATAAATACTTAGCACATCCAAAAGGAATTTAAAGATCCTCTAGCTAATTATATAAAAAATGGAAATTAAGGAGCAAACTAGCATACACAAATACAACATTCAACTATAAGCACCTCAAATAGATTTGGCAAAAGTACAATCAATTCAAAGAGAAATTATTGCAATGTAATAAGCAAACAAATTATATCACAAAAGACGATTATCAAGTAAGCTCCATTTGTGTATGATCTCTATATTCTGCAAGTTGTGCTTGAACTTTAGGGGATGTCATTCTGTCCTAGATAATCTGCTCAATTGTTCTCAAGACTGCACTATTATCTTTGAATTTGGTTGGGAGGGATTCTAGTATTCCTTTCCTTCCAAATGCAATATACTATGATGCAAACTTTCCTCTTTACGGTCCTCATTGACTTGTATTTCTAGTGTTGGGCAACCCCTGAATGAGAAATAGCCATGGCCTTTCCGTGCAGTTTTGACCCAATTGTTGCATTAGGCTTCTCCAAATCCTCTGTGTGAATGGACAAGTTAAAAAATAGGTGCTCATGGGTCTCAAGAGCATTTCTACATAAAAGACATTGGAGTCCCAATTAAACAGCAAAGGACTGTGTTGTGTCTTTCGTACTAAATCTTTGACTTACTGCAAGCCATAAGATGAAACTCATTCTAGGTATGGATTAGCTTATACCAATTGAGCTGAAACTAAGCCACATTAGGAGCAACAATCCTAATTTAGTCCTCTCCATTTCATAGAGTCCTCCTTAGTTTGATAGGGAGCGTAGTTGGGCTTTGTATCAGAAATTTTCATCATCGCAAGTGAAGAAACAGTTGGTCATTTTCATTGATTATTAGACACTATAAAGCTGACAGTAGCCTCTTTAGAAAGGCCTGAATCTTGTATAATAAAGAGAAGTCATTTAGTTAAAAGAGGACCTTGAGGGTGCCAATTATTGAACCATAAGCTAGTAAGTTGTCCATTGCCAATATGATGGGGAAATAAAAGGTATGACTACTTCCCTCAGCTTCAAGAGATTCAACCAATGGCTTGAGCATTTTTGGGGAGCTTTAACCTCCCATAGGCTTTTACCTTTTAAATGGTAGCTATAGATCCATTTGGCCATAAGCTTTGTTTATCCTTGAAAAAATACCCACAAATAATTATCTATGAGGCACTTATCTGCATTTGCATTTATGTACAAGTGGCAAATGCAATGCAGGTAGTTCTCAATTAGTTATCGTTCTTTATTTTACTTTGCTTACTTTGTCAAGTGCCTAGTGGATAGTTTTATGTTGTTTTGAGGGAAATATTAGTATTTTTTTATATCTAAGGTAGATAAAGATAATAAAATCCTCCCGAGTCACGATACAAAACTTCACATCAGTTCAACCAAGTAAAATATTATGTTTGTATGCGAGTCCAAGTGAGTTCTGACACGCTAGCATTTCTCAAAAATTTACTTTCAAACCAATCAACTTGATGTTCCCGTATATTTTTGTCATCAATCCTTTTGTTAGAATACTTCTTTTTTTCACATTTTTGAAACCGATGAAACATTTAGATTATACATGTCTTTCATCGTCAATAGAAATTTTGTTATAATACCAAAAAAAAAAATGGGCACCCTAGTGTTGTCATTATCAATACACTAATAAACACTAAACACTAAACAGCCTCCGGCACCAACCCGGCCCATTGCCTCCCAAAAGAAAGGCACAAATAATAAAGTCTTTAAATGTGGGCATGAACTAGCCTGTCGGCAGTGTGCTTCATTGAAAATTTCTACAGCAACAATTTGGTAAAATCGTCTAAATTCAATCAGAATATCCGATAATTTTTTTACTGTCCAAATTTAAATCCCTTTTAAATTCAGAAATATGATTCAAAAAAATCTCATATGATTTAAATAAACTCGATTGAAATTGAATTTTAACTAATGACGACTACATTTCAACTCAATTTTTTTAATAGCCATTTAATTATATTGTCATAATCGAATCTAATATTCACATATTCAAATTCATATTCATGAAATATGATAAAAATTGATTCAAATGTGTAGTTAAATTTAGGGGATTGATAAAAAATATCAATACATATACTGTTAATTTGATTCGAATTTAGATCAACTTGGGATCAAAATTGAATTCAATGATTCATAATATCAACGGTAAATCACATAAATGCCCCTAAATTATGGACTTTATTTTAAATTGTCTCCATGAACTTCTAATATTCAAATTTATTCCTCGAACTATGTAATTTATTTAAATCAACTCCTTCGATTAAGATTTTTTACCCAAACCAGGTAAAAAATTTTGGATTCTATGCTTTGAACCGATGACTTGTGGAAGACTATTTCTTTGACCGACCTTATCCAATTAATGGTAAGGTTCTAAGTCGAATTCCGTCCAAAAAATTGACTCGGGAGATTGGATAAGAATGCGGAATGTCTCACAAATTTTCAAACTTTGAGTTATTCATTTTTGGGTCAATTTAACAACTCAATTACAAAATTTTTGGGCTACTTTTATAACTAGACTGCTAAAATATAATATAAATATATGTAAACCAATAAAATAAACTAATAAAACTAAAGAAAACACGAGAAATGTAATTAATATTTTCTCTAATAGTCTAAAACACCATAAATAAAATACAATCATAAGTCACGCTTTCTAAATGACGTTATTTTGTAACACATTATTTTTTCTAAAAATTAAATATACATGTGGGTCGGGTAAGATACATAAATTTTATGGATATTCCGCAATCCTACCCAATATTTTCGGAATACAAAAAAAAAAATCTTCCTTTAGTTGGCCAAAAAAATACGGAAGCCAAATTATCAGATAGAGTCAAAATATTACGGAGCGGGTCGGGTGGGCGGAATTTTGAACACCCTTAAGATGAAGCGTTAAATGATACAAATTAACGGTCAACTATAGCAAAATCAGTCTCATTAACGGTTAGTTTTAACAGAATTGGTCTCATTAACAATTAATTTAACAGAGCCTGTCTTATTTAGTAGTTAATCTTAACCAAAAATTTGTCTCATTAATGATTAGTTTTAACGAAACCATTCTCATTTATCGGTTAATTTTTATGGAAAAGGTCGTCTGAACAACAATTTGGCAAAATCAGAAAGATGCTTAAAAAAATCTCACATGATTTAAATAAACTCAATTGAAATTGAATTTTAACTAATTACAACTGCATTTCAACTTAATTTTGTTTATAGCCATTTAATTTTTTTTTTTTCATAATCTAATATAATATTCAGATATTCAAATTCATATTCATGAAATACGATAAAAATATATTCAAATTTGTAGTTAAATTTGGGCGATCGATAAAAAATATCAATACATATACCGTTAATTTGATTCGAATTTAAATCAACTTGGGATCAAAATTGAATTCAATGATTCATAATATCAATGGTAAATCACCTAAATTCCCCTGAATTATGGCCTTTATTTTAAATTGTCCCACTGAACTTTTCCCTTGAATTGTGTAAATTGATTTCAATCTATCCCTTCCGCTAAGATTATCATTAAATGAGATAGATTAACAATTAATTTTAACAAAATTTGTCTTATTAACGATTAATTTTAATAGAATTTATCTCAGTAACAATTAGTTTTAACGAAACTTGTCTAATTTAGTGGCTAATCTTAACCGAAAATTTGTCTCATTAACGATTAGTTTTAAGGAAACCCTTCTCATTTATTGTTTAATTTAATGGAAGGGGTCGACTAAAACAAAAAAACATAGTTTATCGGTTAAATTAAAATAATTAAATGTTCAGGGGACAATTTAAAACAAAGCTCATAATTTATGGAGTATTTATGTGATTTACCCTGATATAAAATGCATTTAAAACATCTCTTTCAATCATAATCAGAGCTGTGAACCACAAGACAACAAGAGCCAATGGACAACAAAAGAATCTATGTGCTGTTACTTTATACCAAAGTCAAATATACAAATATATTCCTGATCAAAAAATATATATATATATGTGTGTGTATTTATAAATTTACAAATTGCAATAAACCAAAGCAAGTGGATATATTCCAACAATAACTAATGGCTATTCTAACCGTAATTCACGGGCGACCATGACCCGGCAGCTAAAATGGAGGGTTGACTTTGTTCAATTGGTAACGTGGATACGGCATATACGGCCTGTACTTTCCACAACGACATCGCCACGTGTCATGCGCCCTTTTGCTCATCCGTACATTTTTCAACCTGTGAGGTCTTATATGATGGTTATACATACTTTTGTTTCATACATAAGTCGCCATAACTGAACCTCTCTCTCTCTAAACACACAAAAGTCCTGTAACAAACCCCTTATCTCCCTCTCCCTCTCCCTCTCCCTCTCTCTCTATATATATAGTTATATATGGCCTAGAAGCCTATTTCTCTGTAGGGGTCTCTATTCGTTTCAATTTTTGTTCTCTCTCTTTTTTTTTTTTGTAAATTAATCTGTGTCTAGTAAAATGATGTGTGAACAGCAGCAAATGAGGATGGATATGAGGAATAAGAAACCTGAAGATAGGAGAAAAATGGGCATAGAGGAAGAAAGGCTTGAGATTCTGGATTTGAGTGGTATGTCTTTGGAGGTTCTTCCAAAGCCTTCTCTAAATTTAGGAGCCATCTGCAAGTTAGACCTCTCCAATAACAATCTCCAGGTACTTTTTTCAGCATAATAGAGGGGTCTCTTTGAAGATAAGGCATTTTAGAGAGGTTGTGGATGAAAGTCTTTCTTATATTTGCTGCTGGTTTAGTTACTAACTGTTTAGGTTTTCTTATGTCTTCCTTTGGTGCATCCATTAAGCTGCGAAGGACATGTTGTTTTGTTGAAACAAGAGATTGTTTTTGAAAAAGAAATGGTGGAAAAGAGGTTGAATAAAAATAAATTGGATTCCAATTATTTATCTATTGGGTGGTGGGAAGAGATAATGAAGTAGTGGGACGTAAAAAGGCTTCAGCTTTTGCTTATTCTCCTTTTCATGATTAGGATTCTCTCTCTCTCTCTCTCTCAACCCAGAAAATTAGCATCTCTCTCACAGCCAGAAAATTTGCATCGTATGACAAAAGGCCTGACGTCTCTATAACATAAGAATTCATGCAGGTTCATATTATCAACGCAAATCTGTGTGTGTACATATGTGTAGGTGTGTATATTTGTATATGTTCATATTTATGCCGAAAGTGAAGATAATGTATATATATGACCTTTTCCTAACAAAAAGTTTCATGCACTCGATCGTATTTTTTTTTTTAAATATTCTTAGATAAGTATGTGACAACAATATAAGACTCATCAGAATTTGATTCTTTCTGTGCCCTAAAGTTGATTATGTAGTAATCATGTATTTTGTTTTGATTTTCTAATTTAATTTGATAGAGCATACCAGAGTCTCTAACGGCAAGACTTTTGAATGTGGTGGTGTTTGACATCCACTCAAATCAGCTGAAATCCCTACCAAATTCAATTGGGTGTCTGTCAAAGCTCAAGGTGTTGAATGTCTCTGGCAACCTTCTTCTATCTCTCCCTAAAACCATTGAGAATTGCAGGTTTATCATCTTCTCCTCTTCTAAATGCATGATGATCTTTTTTCCGTTATAATTTTGTGGTCTAATCGACTAAATTTATTGGGGAAAAAAATTATAGTAATAATTAGTACTATAAAATAATAATTAGCAAAATGGCATTTTTTGAGATTGATCCCTTTTTTTTTATTGTAGCGCAACTCAACCCGATACCAAATGAATTGTACGTAACACCTATAATTTTAGTATAGTATCGAGCTCAATACTATATTTTTGCCCTATAAGGCTATGGCTTAGCTGGTAAGTTGACTTGCCCGGCCAATCATTTTTTTTCTTTTGGGGGGGGGGGGGGGGATGTAACCTAATGGTAATGCCTAAAGAGAAATTTATTATTCCAACCAGTGTCAGCCATAACTTAACTAAGACATCAAGACTCGAGAGAAGCAAAACTAAATGTTTTTTACTTTGTACTGTGGTCATGTAGGAAAAGGAAAATTGAAAACCATTCACATTTACACCATATGTTTTTCTTTAAAAACATTATATCACACTTTCTTCACCTACTTATTTGCTTCCTCGATACCTATAAAATAGTGAATGCCCAAACTTGAGGTTTTATCGTCGAAAATTATATTTTGAAGCCAACGAGTTCATTGCCTAGTTGGGTACTAAAAGAGCTTGATTAGGTTGTAAGTAGAAATGTGAGGAGAACCTCTCTGAGCAAATAATCTTTAAATTTAGTTTGTAACTGGTTTTCCTTTTTCACCACCGATTACTGAGCCCTAAACGGATAATGATTCTTGATGTGTTTAAGCAATTATAATGGGATACCTATGACTATAGTATTGAAAAATATTTTTTTATCGACGTCCTAAAAAAATTATTTTTTATAGTAATGATTATTATAATTATTGATCAATTTGTACATAAGTTACATTTTTTGTAAAAAAAATTTAAAAAAATAATACGAAAAATAACTTTTGGGCATTATGTCGTAAAGCAGAAAATAGGTGATTCTGTATACGAAGCAAAAATTTGTTTTGTTGCATTTAAATTCAACAAAAGTATGCTCAGAAATTCTTGAACACAATCATGTGATAAAGGAGAAGTTGCTTTCTTTTATCTTTGTCCATGGGGTTAAGAAGTCAACGTTTTGTTTTATGGGGCATTGAACGAGAATCATAAGACACAAAATCAATAGAGAAAGATGTAACACGAAGCTTACATGCAGAGATAAAGGGCGTAATTGTGGAGAAAATATTCATTACAATGATGATATCATGTGATAAGGTGATATAGTATTAATGTGATAACTATGACTATAGTATTAGAAAATTATTTTTTATTGGCGTCCTAAAAAAAATATTTTTTATAGTATTGATTATTATAATTATTGATCAATTTGTACATAAGTCACATTTTTGTAGAAAATATTAATTACAATAATGATATCACGTGATAAGGTGATGTAATATTGTCAACTAATAATAATAAAACAAATAAGCATATAGACCTTACAAAAATGAATAACTAATATATTATGTAAACAAATAACTTCTTATCCTCCTGTCAGGTAAGTTCAAGTAAGGTTCACCTTTCCCAAAAATATATCAGCTATAAAAACCCAAAAATATAGCAGCTATAAAAACCTGATCATCCTTAATGAATATATATGTAACTGCCAAGATTTTAATGCTACTTGAACTCTTGGGATTCTCAATTACGAGTAAATATTGAATGCAACAGTGATACTATTTTATCTAATTTGGTGTACCGGCTTTCAAATGACCCTTCAAATAATTGTGGGTCTTTTATTTTTTTATTTTTTATTTGTCCTTAACCGTTGATTGTGATTGTAATAACCAAAAGTAAAATAACACAACAAATATTTTATACATGTTTCAAGTTTTTATTGAAATAACTTTACAAGTGATTACTTTTTGATGGGTTAAATTGATATTTTACAAAAAAATTAAATATAAAGTAGTTAATAAAGATAATGAAAAATTTAAATATAAAGTAATTATCAAAAAGCCTAAAGTGGTTACATAGACAACATGTTGGAATTCAATTGGATTAGGCTAATTAAATTATTTAAAATTAAGAAAAAATAGGATTTGGGGAGCAAATTTTTCTTCAATACTCTCTCTTAAATGATTATTTCAGTACATACTCTATAGGATATATAGATGTTAATCTCATATAATTGGGATTATGTCATGATTTTACATAGGTGGAGTGTTGCAATGGCAAACCAAATAAGATAAAGAGAATATACCTTTCTTGAAAAATTATGAGCCTCAAGTGATTGTGACTGATAAGACTTTTGGACCCAAGATTACCTACAAGTTGTGACCACTTTGAAATCCACAATAAGATTTAAATTTCATCTTATGAGTGTGAAAACAAGAGAAAAAAGTTTCTATGCATGAAAATAGATACATGTTCATTGATCCACCATTTGATTTGTTTTCTTCATTTATATCATAGTCTCTATATTCTTTCGGCGTCAAATTCTTCTCTAGCTAAGACTTTTTCAAGTTAGTGAAGTGCTTAATACTATTAGAGCACAAACGCATAAAAGTCTCTTTTAAGACAGGATTTCGTAAATAAAGTAAGATCTTTAGCTTTTAACAAGTAAAAGAACGTCTAAAAACTGTTGAAAGTATGAACTCTTTCCCGTAATCACCAAAAATGCAGGGAAAAGGGTGTCATTTAAGTCTTTTTTGTCTTTCCCATTTAAATTAACTTGGACCACGTCCAAAAAAAAAAAAATCAAGGGATTGACTTGGGGGCATGTAATCCGCCTCAAGAGAGCGAGACCACATTGATCAAACGTTGCCAATGGTCCCAACTTTTTAGAGTCATCCTCAAAAGTTTATCTCGATAATTACATGGTGCATGTAAGATAGGAGATTACATACATCCCTTGCAAGGTAGACGAATGTTTCTTCAATAGAAAAAATGTCTACGACTGCGTCCAAAAAAACGAAATGACTAAGGGAGATTGCGGAACTAGATCTTAAAGTCTGACTTCTATTATCATGTATGCTAAAAAAACAATTTAATAATTCAATTTTTTTGACCTAATTTACTAATTCTATCCGTTGTGGTAGTTGGATTATAGTGGTTCTCATAGTTGGATAAGAACCACTACTAATCCCACTAGAACATCAAATTAAGTCAACAAATTATTATTACAGAAATTGCTAGAAAGATGTCACATGTTTGTTTTGCTGACCAAATAGAACATAATCTTTTCACTTTACATAGTCTATACAATTTTTTTTTTCAACGATCCAGACCAACTTAAGCGCAGCTCAACTCTAGTTCGATTAATGACAGATCATCTACGTTGAGATTAGGGTATTCACAAAGAACAAATTTCTCACGGTCTTACCTTAAGAAATTATCAAAATTTGAATTCTGACCGTCTTTGCTTACGATTCCACCAATGTGCCATTTAGTGGTAGTACTGAACATTTTTGTTTCTTCTTACGCAGATCACTGGAAGAGCTTATTGCCAACTTCAACAAGTTAACCCAATTGCCAGAGACCATTGGATTTGAGCTAATGAACCTGAAGAAGCTCTCTGTCAACTCCAACAAGCTTATTTTCCTCCCTTGTTCCACCTCTCACTTAACCAACCTGCGCGTTTTAGACGCACGCCTTAACTGCCTCAGGTCCCTCCCGGAAGACCTTGAAAACCTAATTAACCTCCAAGTCCTCAACATTAGCCAAAACTTTCAGTACCTTGCAACCCTACCCTACTCCATTGGCCTCCTCATCTCCCTCGTCGAATTGGATGTGAGCTACAACAAGATCACAGCGTTGCCCGATTCCATAGGGTGTCTCCGCAAGCTCCAGAAGCTGAGTGTTGAAGGGAACCCCCTCGTTTCACCGCCCATGGAGGTGGTTGAGCGAGGGTTGCATGTGGTGAAAGAGTACTTGACTGAAAGGATTAATGGAGCACATCAAAACTCCCCAAAGAAGAAGACATGGTTGGGTAAGTTGGTGAAATATGGCACGTTCAATGTTCGTGTAAATCGTGAAGATAGAGAAGGTTTCATCATGCCCAATTATCGGACCATCGATGGCATGGCGTCTCCTAGGTACATGGGGATGTTTTCGCCTCGACGACTCTTCTCACCCAAGACATACTTCACAAGATGAGCAGAAAATCATCTATATCTATACATATAGATATATATCCCTTGTGGTATTGTGATATTGGGTTTTACAAGTATGACAAGAACTGTAGATTAATAAGTGTTACTTTGTTTTTTCGTCATTTTGGAAATATTTTTAGAATAGAAGCAAGAGATCTCCTAGCTTGGGCATGGCGTTCAGTTTGCAATATTAATTTCAAACTGTAAAGTGTGTTCTTGTTTTCCAATGAATCTGTAAACTCTGTTGTTAGTTGTTTACTTGTGTGTACTAATTTTTCAATGATAAGGCTCGCTTTTAGCCTCGGAGATGTCTCGTTTTTGGGAACCCTAGATGGATTCTAAATAGTGATACCACTTAATCGTAAGGGTATATAATAGAACAGTAATGTTACGTTGATCAAATTTTAAAATTAAATTTAGAGCTTAAATAACATAACAGCATATTATTTAGAATTTTTATTGGGGCTCAAATGACATGACATTAAATAAAGAAACTCAAGTCAACTGCCATGTCATTTAGACTCTAAATTTAATCTTAAAATTTAGCCAGTGTAGTATTACTGATGATAGAAAAAATATTGCGGTTGACATAATTGATTAAGTCATAGTAAGAGAGAAGAGATATCATAATTCAAAACTCATGGTTAGCAAAAAATGCAATCATTCATTTCAAATTCTACTAATAAAGAAAGCACAATCACTATTATGTTTGGTTTGGTACAACAGAAAAAAATTGAATGATAAAAAGTTAGAGGTATAGATAAAGAAAAAAAAATATGACAGATAAAAAAATTGATTGACGAACTTTATTTTTTAACTTATCAAAATCAATTCCTCCAAAATTGGGAGAAAAAATGAATGACAAGTTAAAAAAAAAATATATATATATATATATATATATATATATATATATATATATATATATCACATTTATTTATTACATATTATGTATATATTAATTTCATATGTAGATATAATAATAAAATATGCATCTATAATTTTTTTTAATCCTTCCACTTTTCTATCTTGACAAACACAAAAAAAATTAATCATTTTTACTTATCATCCCTCCTACCAACACAAAAAAAGGAAGGAAGGATTCTACCTTTTGTAGGATAGAAATGGTATGTTTGGTTCAAGGAATGAAAAAGAGGAATGGAAATGAGGAGTGAATGTATTTTCCATTTCTAAGAAGAAAATGTTTTTCCTTTCTTTTTGTGTTGGTAGGAAAAATGAAAAAAATGGGATGAAATAATTTTTTATTATTTTTTTTTGGCATGAAAAATAAAATAAAAGAAAATAACTATTTATACAATATCATAAATGCCCTTCTATAGTGCAAGTATTCATTCTTCATGGACCCCACTTTCTATAGTACACAAGTGGATCACTCCCACTCCACCCTTTTATTTTTTTTATTTACTATATATATATATATATATATACCCTGCTAAACACACCATTACATCGCATTGTGGGGAAAGAGAAATTGAATAGAATAGATAGGATATTAAAGTTACAATGCTAAAATTGAGGAAAAAGAGAAATTAATGAACCTGATTGAAATAAATGCCACAACTTAAGTGGTATCTGGGGAATTTTCCCAAAAAGAGTTAATAAATACGCAACACATAGTAAGGTAGTCTTTGGAATGTCTTCTATAAAGAGTAATGATTTCTCGTAAAAAGTGTTTTTAATTTAGGGACATAATTTGATAATATTATGTATTTTAATCAATAAAGTGAAATATATTTAATATTGTAATGAATCCCATCATTAAATTAATTAATTCTTTATCACTTCATGGGTCATAATGCATTATGTGACTTATGTCCAAAACCTTGCGAAGATTTTGGGTCTATTTGGTTTGCGTTTCAAAAATTAATATCCGAAAATAATTTTTTAGAAGAGTTTTAAGAAAGTGTGTTTTGATGTTTTCTGAGATAAAAAACTTATTTAGTTAAATGATTTCAAAAATAATTTTATAGAACAGAAAATAGTAAAACATGTTTTGACAACCTAAATATATGTTTGAACAGTAATTCAAAAATTAATAAAAAAAATATTAAAAAGTTATTTTTACATTGACAACTTCATAAAAAAAAATCAATAAACCAAACTTTAAATAAACCAAACATATTCAATAATCTTCATCAAAAATAAAATTAATATAAAAAAATATATCAATAACTTTCATATAAAATAAAATAAAAAATATGCAAACAACAGTAATTTACACAATACACGGACACACACAGTCCATATACACAAAATATATATATATATATAAATACGCACACACAATACACAATACACACATCACACACACAATATATATATACATGCACACAAACAGTCACACAATGCGCTCACACATATATATATATATATATATATATATATATATATATATATATATATATATATATATACGCAATACACACATCGTCTAAATCTAAAAAAAATCAACACATATTTGAACCCAAATTTAAAGGACGTTGGAGCCGACATCTGAGCAAACACATATCTGAACTCAGATTTCGTCTAGTTTTCGTCAAAGTGTGGAGAGTGAGAGAGCAAAAAAAAAACAGAGAAAGGCAATGAATTTTTTTTTTTATAGTTCGATATGTTTTGTTGCTAAGAAGGTTTGAAGGGGAGACCTCATTAACGAGGAATGAATTGTTCTCCGTGATCTCTCATTTCCCTTACTTTTGTCTATAAAACACAAAAAACAAGTTTTGCTTGTTTTTCATTTTTTGTTTTCTATATCCATCTTTTTCCAAAATTTGAAAAACAAAAATTCAAAGCAAACAAGTTTATCTTATTTTTTAGAAATATGAGATCAAAAAACTGTTTTCAAAACTCAAACCAAACATGCGTTTTATCTTCCTAAGTTCAAAGGTTCAAGTCTCCCTCCCTCTCCTTCCCCCTAAAAAAAAAATTATTATAACTTCCCGTGAGCACTTTGAACCCAAAAAAAATAAAAAAAATATATCAGAATACTTATTTAAATAGAAAATACTACATTACCGAAATAAAACCCAAAAATTAAAATTCAACTATATATCATTCCTTAGAGAAGTGTGGAATGAGTGCTCCCCACTGAAAAAATTAATATGATTCACTTATCCAAACAATAATATGTATTAAAATTGTAACTTTTTGAATTTCAGTTATGTTCTATTTAAATTATTTCTGAATAAGTAAAAGTAGTTTTTCTACTTATATAAGTCGGCAAGTTAAAGCAAAAAAAAAAGAACATTTCTGAAAAACACTTACTATGCACAACATTTCTCAATATTATATTTATCACCACCGCAAAGCAAAAAAAAATAATTACTTTTCTAAAAATGCTTCTACGTAAAACATTTCTTAATATTATATAAGCAATACTACAAAACTTAAATAAAACCCAAAATATTATAACCTAAATACATCTTATATTTTAAACGAGTGGATCTCATAAAATTTTTTAGTGAGACTCATTCACCCAACACTTATCAAGAAAGGAAGGAAAGAGGCACTCGACAGTGGTTGGAGAAGGAAATAATAGATAATGATAGTGACTACCGACTAAAGTGTGGAATTGCAAGCTCTTACCAGAGCTCCCATGTAGGAGGGTTTGCTTGAGAAGATGAAACGCAGGTGAAACACATCAACTTGAAAAGTGGGTTTGATTGAATGATGAGGAAAGACATTTAAGTGTTCTTATCTGGTGTGCTAGGTTCTACAATAATAAGCTCAAAATATCCAATGTGTTATTATTGTATTGGATTCCCGTAAACTAACTAATTTACAGTGCCTTTGTACGGAATTCAATCCCAGGGAAAAAAATATTATATCCACACATTAATACATCAAAAAAAATCCATACACTACCACACCAAAAATGCACATACATACTAATACAACAAAAAATAAACACCAATACAATACCACCAACACATACACAAGCATACACTCTCAAATATGTCAAAAATCACATGCACGTGTACATACTAATACAACAAAATGCACATACTAATAAACCAAAAAACACTTACACACTAATCCGACACACACACATAAACTAAAAAAAAAAAACCATAAATACCACTACAACAAAAAACACATATACATACATTAATACACTAACATGCACGCCCGCCCGCACACACATACTCTCTAATACAATAATACATACATCAACCCTAATATAATAAAACACACACACACACCAGTACACCTAAACAAGCACACAATGTGTTAACGGACACATTGTATTATCACACAACTAATACACCACACCCCCTGACATTGACATTGTTATAACACGCTAATACACTAAAATACACATACACAATGTGTTAAATGTGAGTCTACAATTGGATTAGGACCGGAGATGCTTGAACATACTTCTAGAAGTAGCCAGTTTGACTAGAGTACCACTTTTAGTTTGCTTATTTGACTAGATTACAAGAAGTGATACTTTTGAGGTTTTCCCAATTACCAGCTTGTTTTTGTGTGACAAAGACGGTTATAAGATCCAACAAGCGTTTCTTATATCAATTTCAATCTCAAAGCCATTCTGTATAATTGCTAACAGTATCAATGTTCTCTCCCTTTACATCCATTGTGTACTCGAACTCATTATCACTAAAAGGGATATCCTATGTGCCTACCATAATAGATATTCCAAGTAATTACTAATTAGTATTGTATTAGCTCACGAAGTGGACAGCTTACTGTATCAAAAATCTCCGTCGGATGAAAAAATAAATTCTCACCAGTCTTGTATTCATTCTACCAGTTCAGCCAAAACCACTTCAAACTAACACTAAATCAGGGGGGAAAAAAACCCCCTAATTCCATCATAAGGCTACAAAAGATATGAAAATAAAGATGGATCAACAGATGACTCCAAAGCATATCAAAGACCAAAACAAACTGATTGGTAAAAAAAGTGGTAAATTGATGCAGGCATCAAAAATTGCATGAGTGAATGCAATAAACAAATAGAGTGAA